AAGCACTGTTAAGACGTACTGCCATGTACTATTTTGCCAGGATCATGGCAAAACCGCAGCTACAATCTCGAGCACGGTATGCTCTGGCAATTTTGACATTTTGCAAACAGATGGTCTCATCACTATCCTTTCAGCACTGAAGAGGTGGCTATCGTACTACTGCACAGAAAGAACGTTGTGAAACCACTGCAAACCAGTGTGGAACGCACTGTGAATGTAATGATGTAATTCCTCATTTTGTTGTGCAAACAAGGCGGCAGGCAGCACACTGCATAAAGTTTGCGAAATCCCTGCGCAGGAACCATGGAGGCACACAGCTGACATCACGGGCAAGAATCCGGCCGTGGCAAAACTGTGTGATGCAAAACCCTTGTCTAGTTTCATGAAGCTCAACTAATTTGATTGGAAAAACCACTTCTCGGAACTACGTTTGCTGAAAAAGAAAGGTGAGAACGAGAAGAATAAGAACGGAACATGGCCAGCAGACAACCGAATGTGGCAACCTTATATATTTCTTGTAAATAGTTGTAAATAAATTAGTTTTCGTTAATTAACGATGCCATCTTCGTTTTTGCGCAAAGCTCTGGTGCCAAAATCCAGGAGTAATAGCTAATTCAAGAGATACTTTGAGGATCTATCTTGGATTTGACAACGACCGAAGCAATGCACTCAGCAGGCCATGGAAAGACTGATGGGAAAACAAACTGCTCTGCGATCTCGGGTGACCAAACTTCTTTCGGGAATCGATTCTTGCATCGAGGGCACCGAGAAAACCCAAAGGAACTTCGGCATTTTATCAGCAAGGCTTAAAGCCTTCCAAGCCCAATAAATCAACGTCATCGAGCCACCCATACCGGACAGAGAAGAACAAAACTTCATTTGAATAATTGAATATAATGATTGGATCATCCCGTATGTTGCAAAAATTCAAGAAGAATTGAAAGATGTCGAAGACAACGGGATCACAACATTCTTATTCACTGATGAATAACAACGGAAACCCGACGACGGGTGCTTGCCGAGTGAAGCTTCCAAAGCTCGAGCTGCTCAAGTTTGACAGCCAAAATATCTCATGGAAAGAGTTCTGGGAGCAGTTCGAATAAGTGATACACACAAACGACTAAATAAGAACGCTGGACAAGTTTGTGGACATTAGGTCTGTGGTGAAAGGTGAGGCGGCATTTGCCATCAAAGGTTTGCCTCCCACATCGCGGTGCTATGAGGACGCTGTGCTTCTGTTAAAAAAGCGATTCAGCTTTTTCGTGGTCCAGATGCACATGCTGAAGCTCCTGGATCTGCACCTGGTGAGAGACATCAACGATGTCTGGGGTCTCCGTAGGCTCTACGACACCCTAGTCTCCCATCCCCGAGGATTGGAGGCACTAGGACAGAAACAGCAGACTTTCGGTGCTATGCTGTTTCCAGTGGTTCAGTGTGCACTGTCAAAAGAAATTCTGCTGGATTTGAATAGAACGATATTAAACAGACATCAGACGCTTCAAATGGGGGAATGTCCACGAGATCCGATGATTCTCGGGAACAAAGAGCAGAGACACACACCACTGAACGAGGTATCATGCCACTATTCTCACAACCAGGGTTCGTACAGCTCCGTGAAATTCTTAAATACTCAAGATTTTGTTACCAGGCTTTCAAGAGCCCTTAAACGCCGTATTTTTGCTCATATTACCCGCCCCTGCATATAACCCGCACCCCCCAACATAAAACTGTTGGAAATAGAAGAAAAAAAAAGACCTCGCGTGTTACTTGCATAATTACCCACGGAAAGCAATGTCAAAGTCACCAAAAAGAGTACCTTTATTCGAACATTACTCATCGCTGCAGTCACTGCAGCTATCAGTGCAAGCATCTTCATTGTCTCAGAGAGCGTCGTCATCTATGCCGTCAAGGCTATTGCTGATGCAGCACTTCCTGAAACTCTTGAGAATCATTTCGGCAGGAATCGCCTTCCACGCATCATACACTTGCAAAGTACTGCTATGTCAGCTGTGCCGATCCGGCCCGTCGGCGTGACGTCGTACTCCCCCTCGGCAATCCACTCCGTGTACATGCACTTCATGTGCACCTTAAAAGTTTCAAGCAAACGTCCAACGGCTGAAGCACAGGCGTCATACCGCGTGGGACCATGATGAGGTTCATCGTGCCATCCGCAAGACGGTTCTTCACTCGGTATTGTGGCGCCAGAACGTGTCCAGCACTAGCTGGACCTCCGCGCTAACGTCGCACCTGGCCTGTTCTCCCCCATGGTTTTCAACCAGTCGACGACAAGATGACTGTTCATCCAGGAGTTGTCCTCCACACGCACAACTACCCCGGAGGGCAAATCAGTGGGGAGTGTACGGTTGTTGCTTCGTGCCGCCTGCTAAAGGCCCGTTCACACTCTTGCAACCGAGTACGACCGAGAGAGACCAGACCGGTTTTTAAGCCTCTTGCGATCTCTTAGGACCAGCTCCGCTGCCGCGCATCCGGTTCTAAGAGGTCGCAAAAGGCTTAGAAACCGGTCTAGTCTCTCTCGGTCGTACTCGGTTGCAAGAGTGTGAACGGACCTTAACGCGCACAACGTCGCTGTACAGCGCAGTTTTGTGTTGCCGCCTGTCTGAAGAGTTGTGTTCAGTGGCATTTCAAAGTACTCGGGGGTTTGGTGTCTGTTACCAATCTACGAGTAAAGGCCCGTTCACACTCTTGCGACCGAGTACGACTGAGAGAGACGAGATCTCTTACAACTTCTTAAATGTTTCTAGAATGAGGGAACACACTGACATTGTGGCGCCATCTATGCGGTGACCCTAGAACTGCATTTCACAGAAGCGAAGGTTTTGCGGGATTTCCGAAGTCAAATGTGCGTAATACCCATAGAAAGGCTTGTTTATAACATTGACAAAAGCTTTTCGAGCAAAAAAAGAAAGGATATTGCGCGAGAAATAAAAAAAAGTATGCCGGACCGCCGAGTTTACACTGCTTCCCAATAGATGGCGCCAGTGTGTTCTCTGGTTTAAGAAGTTTTAAGGAACCCAGGTTTAAGAGGTCGCAAGCAGTCGCAAGAGTGTGAACGGGCCTTTAAAGTACTTGTGTCACTTTCGGAGCTCGATCACGTTGCACTGGAAGTTCACTAACTTCTCCTCGTAGGCATCAGGAAGTCGTTGGCATTAGGTCGTTCGCCTGCAGATGGAAAATCCTTGGCGTTTCATGAATCGGTAAAACCACCCGTGGCTGGCATGAAACTGGTTGCACAGTATGCCGTCCTCTCTTGCCAGCCTCAGAGCTTCGATCTGAGCCATCTCTATTGATGCGGCGTCGCCGCAGCCTCTTTTCTCCTCAGTGAACTCCGGCAGCTTGGCTTCGATTCGGGGGTAGGTCTTGGGACTGTAGAAGGACCTGCGGTCGCGGCTTACACTTTGATGACTCTGCTTTTTTGCTCTCCACTCACGTATACAGGATTTGAAGACATTATACTTTCAGCCTGCCGCACGGTTTCCGATCTCGGCAACGCTGATTATTTTGAGTTTCTGCTCCGCCGTAAAGGACTGCCGCCGAGCACAGCTCATGTCAAACGGAACGGGACGACCAATATGGCAAGATTCGCCTTTGACGTGATTGTCTGACATATAGCTTCATTTGCACTTCGCTGGGTGTGTGGCCAGTGCAGCGTTTTGGCCCGCAGACAATGCAAAGATGGCAACTCGGAAAAAGAACATAAACTAAGGAGAGACCGGAGGAAGTTCCTAGGAAGCAACGGCTAAGAGGGATTTTGGGGAATATACGTACTAACCGACCCTGCTGCTTGGTGCGTACCGCTGTGAAGCCACACTCACGTCCAAATTCGCGTAATACTCTCACCCCTACTTTGGCTTGAATTTTATTGAAGCTTTGATGTGCATAAGATGCGAGAAAATACTACTATATCCTTGAAAGTTAAAACGATTCTTGTATTCCTTGAAATTCCTCCTACAAATGTGTAAATGGGGCTGCGTCGTCTGGCAACATGGCATGTCGTTTGTTCTAAAGGGTAAATTCAATCCAAGGCGTCCCATTGCATCGCCATTTTAGCTTTGTGTTGAGTGTGTTGAGGGTTGGTGAGCGTGAGACACTTTCAATCGAGATTGAAAGTTGAAATGCTGGGTGGAAAGTGTAAGTTCCAGCCTTCTTGGCTGGAACACAGACTATTGCCAGTGGGTGAGACCAGATACAAATGACTCTTCCGAGTGAAGTGTGCGATCTGTCGAAAGTCAATTGTTTTTGCCACAACGCTCCCAACAAACCACTGGATGTCCATTGGACATCCGATAGATATCCGCTCAAGATATTCGGACGTCCCCAGGAGATCCGTAGCCGTCCGACGGACGTCCCCAGGATATCCGTCACAGTGCCAAAGGTAACAAATTTGCATGTCCATCGGACATCCGAAATGGGATCCTTCTGCAGGCCAATTTTGGATATTCGGATGGCTTGCCTGAATTCATTCTACTTTAGCCCAGATATGTTGTAAACCAGTCAAAACACTAACCTGAGCCAATTTCTACAGGGTAGAATTTCTTCGGATATCCCGTGAACATCCGATAGAGATCCGATTCAGATATATCGAACATCCGTGGGACGTCCGTATACGTCCAACGAACATCCCCAGGACATCCGACAGAGCGCCAAAGCGAACAAAATTGCACATCCGTTGGACATCCGAAACGGGATCCCTCTGCAGGCCAATTTCGGATATCCCGGGAACATCCGATAGAGATCCAATTCAGATCTACCGAACATCCGTGTACGTCCGATGAACATCCCCAGGACATCCGACAGAGCGCCCAAGCGAACAAAATTGCACGTCCGTCGGACATCCGCAATGGGGATCCCATTGCGGATGTCCGACGTACGTGCAATTTTGTTCTGCAGACCAGTTTTGGATATTCAGATGCCGCATGCCTAAATCCGTTCTATTCTTGCCTGGATATGTTGTAACCAGTCAAAGAACGACCCTGAGCCAATTTATATTGGCAATATGGTTTTATTACTACACTCGTGTCCTATCCATACAGGCGCTTCTTCTGATTCATCTCGGAGGTTGGTGTTCAATCTTTACGCATTGGGAAACCATCTTGCTTTGTGTCATCTTGCAGCTGTCTTTTCATGGCTCTAACAAAGAACCAAAGAAGGTATCAGTGCGGGAAATTTCATAGTACATCCAGAAAGTACCTGTAATTGTGTGGCATACTGTAAGGTGACAATCCCCGGCGTCGGCAGGTCCTCTCTGCACCGTATGGCCCTAAGAAAACAAGTTGGAGACGGTATCGGTATGAGTGAAGGTAAATTTTGCAACACTTGGAAGTTACCTGTTGCTGAGTAGTGTAGTGTAAGGTGTTCGTCCCTGGCATGGCAAGGTCATTTCTGCACCAAGGTGAAGAAGAGATGAATGCACGCAACTTCCACACCAGAATCGGAACATAGCTGTAGCTGAGTGGCATGGTCTAAGGTGCTACTCTCTGGTGTGCTGGGCAGCCCTTGCTACACCGCCGCATGGACCTAAAAAATCAAATTGAAGAAATAATGAGCGCAGACAAATTTCACTACACTTTTAAAACCTTTTGGTAGCCGAATAGCATAGTGTGAGGTACTAACATTTTTCCATAACATGGCAAAGAACAAACGCTGCAGCCCCGCAAGACAGTCAGAGCGAGTTGCATCACAATGTAGCCGTCGTGCATTCCTCCCGTGGAGTGCTGTCATGTACTTTGCTCTGTCACTTTAATTGGCTCACGGGGGCCATATAGCTTTCACCCTTAGCCAAGTTATAGTGAAGCGGAGTGTACTATAAAGGCGCGTTCCCACCGGCGATGCGATCTAGTCGTGCGATAACTTTCATCGCAAAAGCGACCATTGCGGGCAAAAAGCGACGCGATTCGAGCAGTCGCGACTCGACCCGACTTTTTTGCGATGCGATCTAGTCGCGGAGCGGCTGAGCCAATCAACGGCGTTCGGAGGGAGAGTTTTCGAGAAACGACTTGCCAACGAAGGCGTTGGACTCACTCATCGCGCACGCCGGTGTGACCATCTAATTTTTTTGCGATGCGATCTAGTCACATCACGCGACTGCTTACATCGCCAGTGGAAATGTGCCTTAAGAGTGGCAACTTGGGAGAGTTGGTGATGCATTACAACCAAAAAAAGTGCAAAAATTGGATGAAGGACGAGTGAGAGGAATGTAAGCGACAGGCGCCGACTTGCAACTAAATTTTTAATTAGGGAAAAACATGAAACCCTCGAACCACCAAAACATGAAACACCGCCAATCTTATCAATGTGATTACAATATTGCTTCATAACGGTGTCCTTATGAAGCAATATTGTAATCACATTAATAAGATTGGCAGTGTTTCGTGTTATGGTGGTTCGAGGGTTTCATGTTTTTTCCTAAAAAAAAATTCAGTTGTAAGTCAGCGCCTGTCGTGAACATTCCTCTCACTCGTCCTTCGTCTCATTTTTGCACTTTTTTTGGTTGTAACAGAGTGTAGTCTTTGCCGTGGGGAGCTCATTCCTACATCTGGTGACCCTAACAAAACCTTTTGAAAAGATGAGTGCAGACAACTTTCATTAAGTAAATTTTACCATATTTGCCACACAGTTTGATCTTGAGGCGAATATTAAAGATGCCTATAAAACACTGGTTCCATACTTAAAAAAATATGGCACAAAATACAAACCCTTGAACTGTAATTTTGTAGCTAATTACCAAAAAATGTTGCTTCACAGCTGTGGAAACAAATAGGCACATATAACAATGTTCAAACTTGCCTTGTACACGACTTGACTGGTAGTAAAAAAGGATAGCACATTCCATAGTAGAAATTACCAGGGGCATTTTTATGGTCCATTGGCTCCGTTAATGCCTGCTCACTGGCCTTTCCTGAAAATACAAAAAAAAAATGGGTTCAATAAAAATTCAAAAATAAATTTGTTATCAAAAGTGGAGTGCCACTCAAATACAAAAGCAGAGCATTAAATGTACTTGCACACCTTCTTCCCACAAATCCACAGTAGGCCATTTCCTGCCATCTATGGAGTACATCCAGTGTACGACGAGGCACCAAGAAAGTGATCCGTGCAAGGAAATTGAACATCTCCATGTTGAAATTACGTTCTTAAATTGCATCATACTGTAAGCCCCGTAATCATCTGGGTGCACTTTGCAGTGAGTGGACTAGAATGTGCTCTGCAACAGGGAAGACGTGCATGCATTTTTCAGAGGTGGATATATATAGTGATGTGAATCACGAAACTGCCAAAGAAAAGTGCAGACATGATGGTGTGCCTTCATGTGTGTGGAGATAGTATATAATGAACATCAGAGTTTATGCATGGTATTAACAACATATATCTGATTAAATGAGAGCCTTTAATTTTACTGTGCTAAACACTGTGCACTATGCACCTGCTTGAAATCCACTGTAGGAATGCAAATACGGTATAGGCGCTCTTTCGCATTTTGCTTCTGCAGAATCGAGTCCAGCACCAAACTATGCCCCATGAAAGCACACATTGACCCACCATGATCCACTTCATCCTAAACGCGAGGCTTTCAGCGCCCCCGCCAAGCACGCGCGAGCGTGCAGTGCAAGCAAAGGTTCAGGGGAACATGCTTGTGCTAGTAGCTTCGGCTTCGTTTGCACACGAAGTGAAACAAACATTAGTAGCTTCGATAAAAGCCATTCATGTGTAAACAAAACACGCAAAAAAAAAAAAATTACGATTGAACCTTGGAGAGCAAATCCCTTGGTCTACTTTATGATTAAATAAGCCTGAGACTGAGGAACACATATAAGGGGAAAAACACACACGGCCCCAAACATAGCTGGAGTTCTAGCCGAACTCGTTTGCACCCGAGACCAAGCAGCCCTCTTGACACCGTACCCGGGCTGGATGGCGCGGCGTCAGGTCCACACCGACGACGCAGCAGCATCACCGCCCTCACGTTCTCAGGCGTCAAAAACATAATTGTTCACTGTCCCTGAGAACAGCCCAACGCCTAACTTCTAAAAGGTCACTCACCTTCCGATTCCCTTGTAGCCGTGCTCGATGAAATGGAGAACAGTGGCGAGACGGAGGCTGTCAATCACCGGTCCTAAATCGAGACTCGCACTTGCTTGCTCGCACAGGCTTGAGAGCGGCTCATTCGTGTCCGCTCGCTTTTGATCTTTATATTTTAAAAGTGTCAATAACACTCGCGAAAAGAGAAAGCGAGCGCGGTAGCAGGATAACAGCGGAGACAGCGGCGGCGGCGGTACCAGCGGGCCGAAAAAGGCGCCATTGGCTAGAATAATTCTGCAGTAAATACATTGAAGCTTTTTCCTGATATTTCCAGATATTACCTATTTATTTAGAGCAATTTCTTTTATAACTGAATATAAAATGTCGCTGAATTTATTTTGTTAGTAACTTTTTAATATTTAGGGTCTACCCGTTTACTTTTCATTTTTCTCATTTACTGCGGAGATGCACGCCTCAGAAGCTAGGGAAGTGCAGCTTCCAGTTTCCTCCTACCATCGCGACGACGCTAACGACGCGGCGCGTTGCGGAAGAAAGGCAAACTAAGTACCGTGTTGGCGCGGCACTCGCAACAGATGGCGCGGTACTCGCCACACATGGCGTATCCTCCCCTCCAAACACACACAACTAAAGTGAACTAACACAACACACGCAAAAACCGCCCGCCAAAACGGTGCCCCCCTCTCCGTCGTCGTCTTCTCTTTTTATTTTTTGTTTTTCCCGACCGAGCTGTTTTGGCGTACGCTTTGTGCCAAGGCACTAAAGCTTCCCCTCCCACTTAGGGGGTGCTTTGTGCAAGACACGGATTGCGCTTTTGTAGTGGAGCACTATCGCCACTGAAGCGGCGATACTGAAAATTGGAACCACCACAAAGTCGACGTTTTAAACGTGCTACGCAGCACCTTTGAGATTTTTGTTGTAACGCTGTAAGACTGCAGCATATTCGTTTTTCTTATCAGAAGTAAAAAAAAAAACAAAAAAAAAAACACGTCACTTTCTCCCGGAATACCGCGATTCCGCCGTGTAATCGCAAACCAAAAATCTAACTATTTCCCAATCTGCAGCCGCGTATGGCGACAACGAGAACCATGGCGTGATACACAAGATTTTAAGTAATTTAAAACGAAAAAATACTTTTAATAGTCCGTATTCAGTACCCTAGCTGAAATGCGGGAGATGTGATTGTCAGAAAAAGCGAACCAGCTGTTTAGAGCGTGGGTATCAAGAATAAATGAGTCTTGCTAAACAAAATAATTATAGCTAAAATCTTTAAAAACGAAAAAAAAAAACACTATAAAGATTTTTTTTTTTTTTTTTTTTTAGAATAGTAAAAAAAACATTAAGTTACATCGCTAACCCCAACCGGGAGGGAAAAATATATTTGGAAAAGGATTGAAGAAACAATTGACCCATCGCAATACGTTTCTCTAATTAACAAACGAAGTAAGAGGGGGAAGACATCTTAAACAGTCGACTGAACAAATCATTAAAATCAATTTTGGAGCGATGTATGGCCCGGGGATAATAACAAACTTTTTGGTTTTTTTCAATTACGAGTTGATGAGATCAGAAGTATTTGTAATGATAATGTGGCTAGGGTGACCAGACGTCCCGTTTTGGCCGGGACAGTCCCGTTTTTGAGATCCGCCTCTGCTGTCCCGTCTTTTTGTCCTAATAAAGAATTATGTCGCGTTTTCGAGACATAATTCTTTTTTTTTTTTGTCTATATAATTGCGCAGACTTTTACAACCGAGCCTTATAAGAAAAAGTCCTGCTTAGGAAACTTCAGTCGTCGGCAAAATACACCCACACCAACGAAGGACGCGAAGCAGTGTGACTGTTTCCTAGACTAGGGCTTAGCGCAATATGGTAACGTTTTGAAATGAGAGCAGTTATTTCATTAAAATTTTCCCCCAATCTCAATTTTTAGCCCCCGCCCCCCACTGGGATGTCCCGTCGTCTACCTTGAGGAATATGGTCACCCTAAATGTGGCATATGAACAATTAAGTTTCTCAAAGGTTGATCAGTAAATCATTTGAATGTAGGCAGTGAGATGCATCCGTATTTTCTTTTCAATTTCTTATATCTTGTCACAAATGCGGCTAGGATTCCGCGTGTTTTCGGAGTTTATTTCTCGTGAATTGGGAGGGTGTTTTGGGGGGTTTTATTTCTCGTGAATTTGGAGGGTGTTTTGGGGGTTTTTATTTTCGCTGATAATTGTGGGTTTGTCAGAGTTTATTTTTGTCTAATTCCGCATATTTTAAATTCGGATTTAATCTTCCTGTGTATTTATAATAATAATAATAAAAAAAAATAAAGTCCAGGTACCGTGACCCACTGTCCTGAAGGAACCTCAAAGGGCAAACCTATTTTTGTGAGTGGTTCTATATATTTCAAAGGAAACTGAAGAGGCATGCCCTCAGGACCAGTGACACTGTGCTTATATAAAGTTTATTTGTAAAACACCGTCTTTCTTTCTTTTTTTTTTTTTTTTTTGTCTTTTTTTCTGTCGTTATGATTTCGAAATTTTGTGTTTTTCAGAAAAATCCTCAATGACGGAAAATGTACCGAGAACCCTCACGAATGACCGTCAGGCAAATAAATCCTAAAGGAAATGGAAAGGAAGGCGGAGTTTTGACGACTGTCATGTTCGATTCGCGATCAACCTCGAACCTTTAGCGACAGGTCGTCGATACTTTTTTGGGTAATCGATGTATAACATAACCAGTCAAAATATAAACGAATGTTTATTGTAGTAGTTATCGTCAAGAATTTTGTAAACATTCCCGAACATGCCTCTGCAGCCCCAATCTTCCATTATTTTTCTCTCGAGTAGAGTTTTTGGAGTACATCGCATTCGAATTTCAAATTGATGCCATATAAAGCACGTGTCATTGTCTTCCAAGCGAAGTATAATTTATATATTGAAAAAAAAAAAAAAAAAAAACTATGAAAAATTACAGGTTTTCAAATTTGGTACAAGTTCAGCACGCTGTGAAGAAAAACACATCCCTCTCTCCCTCTCTCTCTTTCTCTCTCTCTCTCTCCCTATATATATATATATATATATATTGACTGCTTAACATTCATTTGATGTCCTTCTTCGCGAGGAGGAAATGTATAGTCTCGATTGCCAAGCTTCTAAATGGTTAGAACCTTGCGCGGATAATAGTTTGTTTGATCACCCGCATCCGATCCACACCCGCAGACTTTGTGTATACGCATCCGAACCGCATCCGACACGCAATCCATGCATTCATGTTACACCAAAAAACCGAGCGTAATTTAATTAAAAAAAAAAAAAGCGTCAGGCCGTTTGCTTTTTTTTTACACAAAGAACTCTTCGAGTCAAGGCTGGGTTGCACACTTGGGACTGGCGCCATATAGCCTTGGAACACTGGCGTTTCCGTATATTTCCTATTTATGTCGCGCATCATTCTTACTTCCTTGGCTTGAAAAGCTTTTGATCATGTTATATCTTATAAATGACATTTTCTCGTGGAGTATACGTACATATGATCTCGCAAATATCGCGAAACCTTCTGTCTAATGAAATGCAGTTCCAGAGTCACCTCGTAATTAGCACCAGCGTGCCAGTGTTTTCTTTGGTCGGAAGAAATAACAAGAACTCGGTCGTAAGCAAACGCAAGTGTGTAAACGGGCCTTCGGAATACACGGTTAAAGTCATTTTATCGTAATCTGTTTTATCGAATTTATGTTACAAGCGATCATCCTTCCAACACGTGGCGTCGCTGGAAAGATGTTTGCGTGTTATGGAGATCGTGCTGGCAGATTGCGACACTCCGCCCAAAAGATGCACTCTAAAAAAAAAAAAATTTAACTCTTTTTTTTTTTTTGCTTTGTAACCCCCATTTTACGCAGACGCGTGTTTTCTCACCATAAATATTAATAAAGGGCAAACTAATAATATTGCGTCATTTGATATAGGCCAAACAATAAAAAAGTGGGAAAAGAAAAACAGTCTCTCACCGCAGCGGTGCACCACTGGGAAAATATCACAATATTCAATAATGGCGAAACGTTTATTGATTTCAGTTTGAAACACGAACCCGCGACTGTGTGCTCCGAACCGCACACTTAGCGATACCTTAAAAACTCTCAAATAAATGAAAAAAAAAAAAAAAGCGCGCACACATTATTTTTTGTGAGGTTTTTACTTTGTTCTGGCTTGTACGTTTTATGTAGCTTTCTTTGCCCAAAAAACGTTATTTTTTCTATACTCCGTTTCACCTTCAGTCAGAGCGCAGCGGACCCTAGGAGCCATCCCAGCCAATCCAGCGTTGAGAGAGTGTCATGTGACCTTCAGCTCTCTGTGTCTCTCTGCCCAACCGGCAGGTCACGCGATTTTCTCCCGGCGCTGATCGGCTGGGATAGCTCTTGGCGTCCACTGCGCTCGGACTGAAGGTGGAACGGAGTATAGGGAAAACATTTTTGGCGAGGGATTTTGTGAGAATCAGTTCTTTCTTGGCGCACAGAACAATTTTCCCCATATTGGCAACCTTTTTTCTTAGAGGGTAATTTGCTCCCACAAAACATTCAATGCTGTACAGCGAGTTCCCGAGGATAGAGAAACGTGTTTTTTGGCCCACATAAATAAACTACGTATGCATCGCAGAAAGCTCGAGCTCCGTGAAAATGTGAAGCTGTTGGGATAGAACGTGAAAGTTTGAGAATACGACGGTGTGCGGAATAAAATGTAATTAATACAAGCTATTTTTTTTTTTTTATGAGTCGACGTTTACCTAAGCCTAATATCGTCAAAACAAGATATGATATTTTCAACGCTTGTGGGATTTATATCAGTAAAAAAACCATTACCAACAAGAAAGGAAATAATGTTTTCTTTCTTGTTGACAAGCTTGTTTTACTGAAAACTCCGCTTAAAGTACCATGATCCGCTGATCGGGTGGCCGCTACATCTAGCCAGAAGCGTGTTTCTAGTGCAAATAATCAGTGCCGGCCCCCAAAAAGTACTTGTATTTGACCACTTTTTTTATGTGGCGCAGGCGAATCATCATCATACACCGCCGTCAAAAAGTATTGTTTCATAGCATGTTTAGGGGTCCGAGGACGTTTTGTTGCGAGCGTTTCGGTACACGGACGTTCCGGTGCACAGACGCTTCAGTCCACTGACTTTTCTAGCGCGCGGAACTTTCTGGTGCACGAACTTTTAGGTGCACGCACTGAAGTTATCGGTGTATGGCCATTTAAAGATTATGAACATCGTTCGA